TTTTTGCTATAGGGCACATGCGCTTGCCAGACAGACAGAGACAGAGAGACAGAAAGCGAGAAATCACCCCCCAGGGGGGATGGCCACACCACAATCCCTTCTCCTCTGTTCTCCTCTTGGGATCTTGGGCACGCACGCACATGCGCCCGGCATGAGTTTTAAGCCACCCAGTCTGGGACGTGAACCGCGGTCGACCACGTGGAAGTCCAGCGACATAGCCATTACGCTAACTGCTGGTCCCTCTTAGTACCCTTTTGTAATAAAAATGGAAGAGCAAGAACAATACTTGGCTGTAACCATGTCCTAATAACCCTTTGAACTCCTTCACAGAATGGCTGACAGACTTCAGCAGCGCTCTCTTACTTTTACCAGTCCTCATCCAAGAACAGTCTTTCAAATAAATAAACTACAATTAGAAAGGCACTTGGTTTTATTGATTATAAAATTCCCAGGCCAGTGTTGTGGCTTTCCTTTGGCAGTTACTCTACTTTGAAGTTAAACTTTCTTGATAAGACCAGGGTTTCTTTTAAAGGTTAATCCAAAGAGCATTGGCAAACAATCTGTAAACAGTTGAGGTAACAATTCAGTGTTTGGGCCAAGGTTCTGGGTAAGTTCCTGTGTGTGTTGGTGGTTTTATTTTGTCCATCATTGCCTAATATGCCTGTGTGTAATGTGTAGCCTTTTTATCCTTGTTCTGAGGATGAAGGAGGATGTACATCAGAAATATTTTGGGGGGAACCAGCAGTTAGTGTAATGGCTATGTCACTGGACTCCCACGTAGTCGACCGCAGTTCGTGTCCCGGACCCGGTGGCTTAAAACTCACGCCGGGCGCGTGTGCGTGTGTGCCCAAGATCCCGAGAGGAGAATGGAGGAGAAGGGATTGCGGTGTGACCATCCCCCCTGGGGGGTGATTTCTCACTTTCTGTCTCTATGTCTCTCTCTGTCTGGCGAGCGCACGCGCCCTACAGTGAAAATCTCTCCAAAAAAAGAAAAAGGAAAGAAATATTTTGGGTGTGAAAGGTGATTAATGGAAACGTGGGAGGGATATGTAGGGCATGGATAGTTTAAAATTCCCGATACCTTATCTTTCTCAGTCCTCCCAAGAGTTTTTGATCTGTGTCAGCTATCCATCTGTAAGATATTTGCCTAACTTGTATCATGGATGACTTAACTCAAGATAAAATTTCCTGAATTCTTGTTTTGCTTTTGATGAAATCATTCAATTTCCCCACTCTGTAAAATGAAGATATTAGACTTACTGCTAGATCTAAAATTTGAAATTCCATATTGTTACAAAGCTCTTTAATCCCCTGAAACAATTCAGAGGAATATCATGTCTACTTTTATAATGAAAAGACAAAATAAGCTATTTCCACTCAGGAAAAACACAACCAAAAAATAAATAAACCAGTCTGAAAACTATAGATGGTAGCAGGAAACAGCCGCTTCCAGTCACTGATCTGCCACTGCTGTGGTCCAGACAGGCTTCAGGTCCCAGAATTCCAGTTTTAAGACTAAACTCCTTTGTCATGTGGTACTGCATATTAAAAATAAATTTTTATGACTTGAACCTTTTCATAAGTGATTTTTTTTAAGAATTATTTTGTTTAACTGTATTTACTTATTTTTTAAAATTTGACCAGAGAGTGACAGGAGAGAAAGAGAAGGAAAGTGAGAAAGCAAGCCTCCAGGTCTGGGACTTGAACCACAGTCAGCCATGTGGGAGTCCACCACCCTTAACCACCACACCACCTGCCAACCCCTCATAAGTGATTTTCAACTTTATGGGTTTTTTTTTTTTGCCTTATTTATTTATTTATTTGCATTTTCCCACAAACATTTACTTTACATATCAAAAATTTTTGCTCACACCCCACAGTTCTTGACAGTTAATATATAACTTTTTAAATTTCCAAAAAACTAAAATTTAAAGATAACTTTCAAAATATTTCTTATAATTTTGTGACCCTATAACAACAGAGACAGTATGACTCTAAATTTTTTTGAGAAAATATTTACATGTCAACTACTCGAACTGTTGAGAAAAAACGCCTCACACACAATTCACACGTGAAACTTCCCAACTCAATTCTGCCTACCAAGTATTCTGTGATATAACATCTGCTTGCAAAGATCAGTCTCTTTTTCTTCCTTAAAAGTCTTCCTCAAGGTAATCCTCTGGTTGTGGCTGCTCTTTTGCAATCTCTACTGATTATAATGCTGGGCTGGAAAAGTCCAGGTTATTTTATGGTACAAATTCACTCATATAGATTCTCTAATCTCCTCTGCCAAGCAGAACTCTTTATGGTGCCAGGCAATCTTCCCAAGAGCTTCTGTTGGGTTTCTTGAGATCTACCTTAGTTCATAGTTTTCTGGTAATATATTCACATATGACATTCTAGTCAAAGCCCTGGCAATAACAAGTATTTCCAATTTCTGATGCAAGGCAACAGGTATTATTAAACGTATGCAGTAACCTTTCTGCCACAAAAAAAGAATACTCACAAATATTTTCCAGTTCCAGAGGGTCAGGAAGGGAGAAAAGTTTGTTTCAGCTAAAAAAAAAAAAAAAAAAACAAGCAATCAAGTAAAAAAAATTTTAACAAATTACTGAACCTATCAACAGCTCAGAAGGAGCAAAATCCTCAAATCTGGAAAGTAAAGCATAGTAAAAAAAAAAATCTGTAATGTTTTAGTCAAAAGTCATATTATTTCACCAGGTCAGTCTCATGTATTCAATCTCTCTTCTGTTGAATTTGTAGTGTTACTGTGTTCTGATCTTTCTGTTTACATCCTGGAAGTTAACATTCAACATTATTATTGATATTTCTGGACTTGTCCCTAGGATGTTCTTGGTTGCTCTTTGTTCTATTATTTCTGTCCGTGTGTCATTAGTTTTTCTAATAGAGCACTCCCTTCAGAACTTCTTGAAGAGCTGGTCTGGTGTTGGTAAATTCTTTCAGTTTTTGTTTATCTGATAACATTTTATCTTTTCTCCCCATATGAAGGATAAACTTGTCCAGTATAGTATTGGTTGAAATTGGTTTTCATTTAACACTTTGAATATATTTTCCCATTCTTTCCTTGCTCACATTGTTTCCAATGAGAGGGCTGCTTTTAGCCTGATGGGATATCCTTTGTAAGTAACTTTACATTTCTCTCTTGCCAATTTTAGTATCTTGTCTCTGTCTGTAGTTTTGGCCAGTCTGGCTATGATGTGCCTTGGAGAAGATCTTTTTGGGTTGATTCTGTTTGGGCTCCTTTGTGTTTCCTGGGTCTGGATATTTAAAAGCCTCTCTAGGTTCAGATAGTTTTCTTCCAGGATCTCATGGAATATGGTATCAATGACCTTACTAGGTTCTTCACCTTCTGGGATATCAATTTTCTTGATGTTTGAGCACTTAATGGTATCTGTTATTTCTTGTATACTATGCTAATTTTGGGGGGTGATTTTCTGTCTTTTTGGTGATTTTTTGTAGATCAGAGGTTTTGTCCTCAGCAACTGAGATTCAATCTGCATGGTCTAATCTGCTTTTAATACTTTCTAGGGAGGTTTTGATTTTCTGTATTACAGCCTTCATTTCTAAAAATTCTGTTTGATTTCTTTTTATGGTATGTATTTTTTCTTTCAAATTGTGAAAGAACTTCCTCACCTCCTGGAACTTGTCTCTTTTTTTCTTGCACCTTCTGGAATTCATTGTCTCTCATCTCCTGCATTTTGTTTAGTTTTGTTATTATGAATATTCTGAATTCTTTATTGGACATTACACAAGTTCCATTGTTCTGTCTGTGGACAATGAAAGGTTGTTCTTTTCCCTTGGGGAGAGAGGCTTTCTTGGTTTCTCATATTTCTTGTGCCTCTGTGGTGATTTCTGGTCATCTGCTGGATTATACATTTCTTTCTAATTTCTTGCAGTTAATTCTAAGTGTTCAGAGTTGTGCAGGAGGAGGTGATCCTTTCTCTCTTTGCAGTTCCGTTTCCCTGATGCTCATTAAGCAACCTGTACTTTTGACTTTGGAACTGGATATTACAAAGGCCTCACAGTGTTTAGGAAATAGGTGTACCTGGTCTGTGCTGCAGCGTTTCAACTGAGAATTCAGAGCCATGTAGGAGGAGTTGAGCTGCACTCTTCTGCAGTTCCCTACTTCTCCCTTCTATTCACTCTGAAGGTTCTCTTCTCTGAATTTTAATCATTTGGTAGTGTATTCACTTTTGGCTAATTGCTTAGAAAAGGTTTCTGCAACTGTAAGATTATATGCTTCCCTTTACTGTAAGGTACTTCTGTGACAATTTCTCCCCTTTACTGTGTTTTGCAACATGATACCCACAGAAAGAGATTTTGAGTTCAGATTTATAAAGAGAAGTTTCTTCCTTCAGGCAGCAGGTTAAGGGTTGAAAATTTCTATGACCCTGTATGAGCTTTTTTAGGGTATGGAAGATAAATAGGAAATAAAAAGAAAAAGAGGAAACATTATTGCCATACCCCACCAGTTTTATTGTCTTGGATGATTTTTTTTGTCTGCTAGGAATATTTATATACTCATTTTCTCATTTAATTTTTAGGGAATATCCACCTATCACTTCAGATCAAGAGAGACAACTCTACAAGAAAGATTTTGACACTGGCCTACAGGAATACAAGAGCCTGCAAGCAGAACTTGATGAGATCAATAAAGAACTCTCTCGTCTGGATAAAGAACTAGATGACTATAGAGAAGAAAGTGAAGAGTACATGGTAAATTTAAACCAGATATTTATATGTTACATAGAATTTGATTCTAGTCCATGAAGATATAGTATATTTTATACTAGCATTTATAAAAAAAAATAGCCTTAGTAATTATCCAACTATGACTCCGTTGAAATTGGGTCTTGGAAGAAAGTTTTTCCAAGGAAAGAGTATACTAGTGTAGTGCATGTGTGCATGCCTGGGACCCTGACTCCTGGTGAGATGGAGAAATGGCTGGGACCAGCATTTGGCCCAATGGCTATGTTGCTGGGCTCCCATGTAGTCGACCATGGTTCGAGTCCTGGACCTGGTGGCTTAGAACTCACGCCGGGTGCATGTGCGTGCATGCCCGAGATCCCAAGAGGAGAATGGAGGAGAAGGGATTGCGGCATGACCATCCCCCCTGGGGGGTGATTTCTCACTTTCTGTCTCTCTGTCTCTCTCTGCCTTTCTGGCAAGCGCACGCACCCTGTAGAAATACCTCTCAAAAAAAGGAGATGGGGGAACCAGCAGTTAGCGTAATGGCTATGTTGCCGGACTCCCACGTAGTCGACTGCGGTTCACATCCCGGACCTGGTGGCTTAGAACTCACGCCGGGTGCATGTGCGTGCATGCCCGAGATCCCAAGAGGAGAATGGAGGAGAAGGGATTGCGGCATGACCATCCCCCCTGGGGGGTGATTTCTCGCTTTCTGTCTCTCTGTATCTCTCTGTCTGTCTGGCGAGCGCACGCGCCCTATAGCGAAAAAAAAACCTCTCAAAAAAAAAAGGAGATGGAGAAATGGCAGAGAAGGGATTGTGATGTGATCACACCCTGTTGAGGGGTGCAATTTCTTCCTCTTTGTCTCTCTCTGGTGAGCACATGTTCCTCTGGCAATTAAAAATTTAAAAATGGGACCAGTAGATAGTATAATGATTACGTTGCTGGACTCCCACATAACCAGCTCCTGTTCACGTCCCAGACCTTGAAGCTTGAAACTCACACTGATATGTGTGTACCCAAAATCCCAAGAGGAGAATGGAGGAGAAGAGATTGGGTTATGGCCACCCCCACCCCCTGAGGGGAAGATATTTTCAGTCTCTCTCTTTCTCTCTGTCTCTCCAGCAGACTCATGCACTCCATAGCAAAAATCTCTCTCAAAAAAAATTACAAAATTACAAAGCAAGAGTCTATCTTTGTACCTCTGTCTCTTCCTATTTAAAAGAAAAGAGCAAAATTTTCCATTTATAAACATAATACATTCTTTTGTAAAAACTCAATACAGAATTGTATACAGAAAACTAAATTACCTTAAATCTTACAACCCCCAAAAAATCCTTTTCAGCAAAATATTAGCTGTTAACATATCTTTTCTGGGCAAGCGGTAATGTGATGATTAAATAAGTTGGATCCCACATAGCTGACTGCGTGGTTTAAGTCCCAAACCCAGTGGTCTGAAAAGACCACCAGGCATATGTGGGTGCATGCCCTAAGAGGAGAGTGAAGGCAAAGGGATTGCAGCATGGCCATCCCCTCTGCAGCATGCTTTCTTACTTTATCTCTCTCTTTCTCTCTCTCTCTCTCGTGAGTGTACATACCCTCTCACAAAACTTTAAAAACAAAACCAAAAAACCCTAAACATCTTTTCTGTGGCTACACAGCGATGCAGTGGTACCTCACCAGGAAGGCACAGGAAGGGTTCTGAGTTTACATCTGGAGATACACCTGAACATGTCAGTGATCAGGGCTGACTGAGGCCGGGAGTGGATCATGGCATGAAGACACTGTTGGGGCTTACTGTATGTCTGTCTCTGTCTCATGAAAGAAATAAGTAAACTTAAAAAAAAAATTCCTTAAAAACAAAACAATCATCCTCTCCACATAGTCTGCAGTAAGAAATCATCTTCCATGTTTCACTTACATCTTTCCTACTTTTTTACTCAATAATAGTTCATGGTTATCTCCCATTTCCCTCCCTTGATGGGCTGTCTGTGGTAGTGTTGTCCATGTAAGCTTACTCTTTTTAATCCACCCCATCCATACTATATTTTGTATACATGCTGGAATTTATATAGATACACTTCCCTTTAAGGGGAAATTAGTTCCTTCCTCCCATTTATTTGCTCATTTATTTATTTGTCAGCTTATTTAAGCATGGACTCATGGATAGCTTCCTTATACTTTAAGTTATAATGCAATACTACTTAATTTTGTGGCTCAAATTGTTCTAGCTTTGACCATTGGAAAGGCTTTCAGTGGCTTCCTGTGTCTCTTTTACATATGCTTATCATCGTGGATTTTTTCTTTTTCTCTGTTTTTAAAATTTCTTCCATGAGATAGAGATGGACAGCACTCTCAATGGGTTCTTCACAGAGTTCCCCCCCACCTCAGTCAGCCCAGAGTATGGTCACACATGTGCCCAGCGTGTACGGGGAGCCCTCTAGATGCAAACCTGTGCCTTTCCCACGTGTGTCTAGTGTCATGGAACGTGGCGTTACAGCTGCCACTGCTGCCCTCCTTTCCCCACTATTTTCATATCCTTTTTGGCACTGCTTATCTTGTATTCATTGTTTCTTCTTTTTAGGGACAGTGAGAAAGCACCCACAGGGGTGATGGCCACGCTGACATCCCTTCTCCATTCTCCTCTTGGGATTTTGGTCAGGGACACCATGTACCCTGTGTGTTTTTCAAGCTGCTGGGTCTGAGACTCAAACCAAACAGTCAGCCATGTGGGATCCAGTCGCCTCAACCACCAAGCCACCAGCTGGCCCTATTTCCTGGTCTTTTACCCAACAATAATTAATGGGTATTATTCATGTCAGTAATAAAAATATACATTAAGAACTTTTGCACGTTAACACGTTTGTACAATTTTCAATTTTATGGTTGCATCATAATTTTTTTGTTTGCTTTTGGAGAGGTTTTTGCTATAGGGCACGTGTACTCGCCAGAAAGAGAGAGACACAGAGACAGAAAGCAAGAAATCACCCCCCAGGGGGGATGGCCACACTACAATCCCTTCTCCTCCATTCTCCTCTCGGGATCTTGGGCACACACACACACATGCCCGGCATGAGTTTTAAGCCACCGGGTCCGGGACGCGAACCGCGGTCGACTACGTGGGAGTCCAGCAACATAGCCATTACACTAACTGCTGATTTCATTATTTTTTTTCCTTTTATTTTGGAGAGGTTCTTGCTATAGGGCGCATGCACTTGTCAGAAAGACAGAGACAGAAAGCAAGAAATCACCCCCCAGGGGGGATGGCCACACTACAATCCCTTCTCCTCCATTCTCTTCTCGGGATCTTGGGCACACACGCACACGTGCCTGACATGAGTTTAAGCCACTGGGTCTGGGACTAGAACCGTGGTCACCTAAATGGGAGTCCAGTGGCATAGCCATTACACCAACTGTTGGTACTGGTTGCACCATAATAAAGAGACATTCTTGGGTGGGCTTTGTGACCTGGTGGTCAAAGCCAGCCATACCGTCAAGGCCTAGACCCAGGAATTTGAGAGATATATGAGGCGTTACATGTATGTGCATGCCCAAGATCCCAAAAGGAAGGAGAGATGGAGGAGAAGGGATTACAGCATGACCACTCCCCATGGAGGGGGGTGCTTTCTCTTTTCTCTGTCTCTGTTTCTCTCTGGTGAGCACATGTGTCTTCTAGCTGGGGGGAAAAATCATCCTCTGTGGATAGATAACATACATCTCTCCCACGCTAGTAGTACCATTCTACACTGGTGAACTGCACCATTTTTGCATTCTTGTCTGCTTATCTACTTGGAACAATTCCAGAATGTGAAATCGGTGAGTCAGGGACCAGCAGATGGTATAATGGTTACGTCATTGGATTACCACATAGTTGACCGCGGTTTGAGTCCTAGACCTGGAGACTTAAAACTCACACTGGTGTGTGTTCATGCTTGCCCACGATCCTGAGAGGAGAGTGGAGAAGAATAGATAGTGGCATGACCATTCCCCTGGGGGGTGATTTCTCACTTTCTGTCTGTCTCTGTCTCTCCTGTAAGTGCACGTGAGACAAAATTTCTCGATTTTCAAAATTTCTCTATAGCAAACATTTCTCAAAAAAAAAAAAAGTGCTGAATTAGAGAGCATGCAAACGTTTAGACTTCTGTTGTGAAACTACCCTTCAGAAAGATGATAGTAACTGCATTCCTCCTTGTAATGCACTAGAGGGCTCATTTGACCCACATTTGTCCTTGAAAAATTGTTGCCTTTGTGTCCCAGATATTAGTAATTAAACTGTTTTCATCACTTCATTTATTTATCATAACTTCATATTCATTTTATTAAATACTTTGCCATGTTCCAGTTAAGGTGAGCATTTCAGTTTTTGAAGCTTTGCTTCTTATATAGTTTAGTTTATCTATTGTTTTCTTTTATACTTTCTGTATGACTTTGCCTTCTCAATTTAGCTTATTATGTCTTTGATGATGTGAAAGTGCAGAGTAGAAAGATAAAACCCTGTTCTCACCCTCAAAGAATGGGAATTCTAAGAGAGAAACTAACATCTAGACAACTTAGGCAGTGTGATTGATGCTGTATTCACATTTGATATAGAAAGTACAACTAACTGCTCAGGGAAGGAATGAAGTCTGCTGAAGGCCTGGAGAGTTTAGCAGGGGCTTCCCTGAGAGATAGCCATTAATAATTTCACCAGACAGAAGGGTTAGGGAAGGTATAGGATTATAGCCATAAGGAAAACCGTAGAAATAGCATGTCCAGGGGCCAGGTGGTAGCCCAGTGCTAATGCAGCTGGACTCACACAGGGAGGGTCCTGGGGCTGTGTCTGGGGACCTCCCTGAGCACACCATATGCCTGCGATCTGGGCCAGCTGAGACTGGGGTGGATTGCAGTATGACGATCCTCTGGGGGATCTGTCTGTTTTTCTCTCTTGGAAGAAATAAATAAACTTTCAAAACATAATATCTAATTTTTTAAAGGAATTGCTGAAGATGGGTACTAAGACTGAAAAGATAGGAAACTAAGTGAGTAGAAAAATTAGTGGGTAGCTCAGACAAGTTTTGGGGTGATATGTGACCTGGTAAGAGCTGTACTTTGTAAAGGATCTTTCTAGTGTCCGTGTGGCACATGGACTGGCATGGGGAAGAGGAAGGAGCAGCAGAACGGTTACCTGCCTAGGTAAATGGAACATGAAGCATTCGCAGGGGTCTTTGAAAAGTTAATAGAAAATGCATATTATGAAAAGCTGTACATGGATATCAGATTTTTTGTGTACCAAAATAAACGTCTACTTTAATTTCATTTTTCTACAAATTTTTAAAAGTCACCTTGTATAGTAAATGTCTCTTCACTGGAGTCCTTCAGGCCTTCCTGGTGACTGTGAATTTTTGTTTCTTTCTTTTTTTTTTTTTTTAATAAGATAGTTGCTATAGGGCACATGCACTTGCCAGAGAGACAGAAAGCAAGAAATTACCCTCCCAAGGGTGATGGCCATGCCTCAATCCCTTTTCCTCCATTCTCCTCTTGGAATTTTGGCACGCACGCACATGTGCCCAGTGTGAGATTTAAGCCACCAGGTCCAAGACTAGAACTGCAGTCTACTACATGGGAGTCCAGCAATGTAACCATTACACCATCTGCTGGTCCTGAATATAATTCTTCGTGTCTTTGTCACAGGCTGTGATTTTTTTTTTTTTTTCCTGAAGAATTATATCAGGAATGTTACTCTTGAAAGTCTTGGGACCAACAGATGGCATGGTGGAGTCACTGGACTCCCACATGGCTGACTGTGATTTGAGTACTGACCCCAACTGTAAGAAACTCATGCCAGTCATGTCGGTGTGCATGCCCAAGACCCTGGGAGGAGAATGAAGGAGAAGGGATTGTGGCATGACCATCCTCCTTGGGGGCAATTTCTTGCTTTCTCTCTCTCCGGAGAGTGCATGTACCCTATAGTAAAAATCTCTCTTTAAAAGAAAAAGAAAAAGAGAAAGAAAGAAAGAAAGAAAGAAAGAAAGAAAGAAAGAAAGAAAGAGAGAGAGAGAGAGAGAGAGAGAAAGAGAGAAAGAGAGAAAGAGAGAAAGAAAGAAAGAGAAAAATGCCTCACTAAATATATTCCATTGTGCTTCTCATTAATAGGCTGCCGCTGATGAGTACAATAGACTGAAGCAAGTTAAGAGAGTAAGTACCTGGAATATAAGATTTCTTGTAGAAGAACTTTTCTATTGCACTTTCCTTTAACATTTAGAATAAGTATTAGTACCTTGTTACACAGGCACTGAGTATAGATCAAAGGCCCTGTTCATTTTGAGATTTATAAATGTCCCTGTAATCTCAATTTTAGTTGTCTACAACTATAGCCACTACTGATTCTTAAAACTTTTTTAAAAGTTAAAGTATACATACAAAAAATGTACAGATCCAAGTGTACAACTTGGTAAATTTTCACAAAGTGACCACGCCCCTGTGTATCTGGCCCCCATTTCCTGGTACCTCGGTAACCCCCTCCCTTGTACTCACTTTCACTTCTCATACTCCCCACAAAGGGTAACTGCTGTCCTAATGCCTACTAGCATAGATGGGTCTCACCTGTCTTGAACTTTAAGTGGAATCATACAGTAGGCATGTTGTGTATGGTTTCTTTTCTCCAGGATTTTATACGTAAGTTCCATTTATGTGTGGGCAGTTTGGTTCATTTACTTTTATTCCTGTGTAATTTTTATTCATCCATTCTCTTGTTAATGAACATCTGGGTTGTTGCTAATTTTTGGTTTTTACAAATGATGTCGCTTCAAACATTTTCGTAAATGTTCGTGTATTAGTTAGGTATACACTTAGTGAAATTGCAGGGTCATTGGGCATGTGTGTATCCAACCTTAGTAGATACTGTCAAACAGCTTTCCAAAGTGGTTGTGCCAGTTTACATGTCTACCAGGCAGTACAGACTCCTCTTGCTCCACATTCGTGCCAACCTTTGGCATTATCAGTCATTATTGACTTCAAACATTTTTTGTTTTTAAAATGTTTTATATTGTTGTAAATGACAAAGCATTGTAATTTTAAATAAAGAATATTTATATAGTAGCAAAAAGGGCCCAGCCATAGCGGAGTCCATAGCTTAGTAGTCTGAGGCCCCATGAGAGGCCTAGGTTCCATTTCTGACCCATTCTAAAAAGCTGGGAAAGAATTCCTCAGGCAGAAGAGTTATGGGAGGTGCATATCTGTCCCAGCTACTGAGGAGGCTGAGGCAAGCAGCATTGTGAACTCAGACCCTGTCTGGGAGATCATACACGGTGATACGACTGTTGTCCCAGCTACCTGGAAGGCTGACACAGGAAGATTGCAACACAGGAAAGCCTTCTCTAAAAAACAAGCACACACACATGGGATCTGGCAAGTGGTGTGGTTAAGGGTGTTGGACTCCCACATGGCTAACCATGGTTTGAGTCCTGGACCTGGTAGCTTGTTTTCTCACTTTCCCTCCCTCCTTCCCTCCCCTCCTCTTTCACTCCATCCCTCTCTGATCAAATTAAAATAAGTAAATAAAGTGAAATAAAATATTTTTAAAAAAAGAGAAAAAAGCACACATACGAATGGCCAATGTTGCATTTCAAATTCCAGGCCCTGTGGCTTAAAAGCACATCAGGAAAAAAAAAAAAAAAAGAAAAAGAAGCACACCAGGAACCAGCAGTTAGCGTAATGGCTATGTCGCTGGACTCCCATGTAGTCGACCATGGTTTGAGTCCCGGACCCAGCGGCTTAAACTCACCCCAGCCGTGTGTGTGTGCGTGCCCAAGATCCTGAGAGGAGAATGGAGGAAAAGGGATTACAGCGTGGCCATCCCCCCCTGGGGGGTGAGTTCTCGCTTTCTGTCTCTCTGTCTCTCTCTGTCTTTCTGGCGAGTGCATGTGCCCTATAGCAAAAAACCTCTCCAAAAAAAGGAAAAGAAAAAGAAATAACACCAAATATGTGTATATGCATGCCCCAAATCATGACAGGATGGAGAAATGGAAGAAAAGCAATTGTGTTGTGACTATGCCCCATTCAGGGTGCTTTTATATCTGTTTCTTTCTAGGAAGTGCATATACCCTCTGGCCATAAATGAAATTTCTTGGTCATTTTACAAATTTTCATAAACGAGTGCATCCTTGGTAAAATTCGGGTTAGAAGATATGACTGTACCAAGAAAATTAATCAGCTGTCTATGTGGTGGGGATACTGCTAGGTACCTTAAGTATATTACTTCATTTAAAACTCCTAACAAATACTATATGATTAATGTTTCTTTTTGTTCATGTCTGTCTTCCTACTAGACCTGTTTTTATTTTGACAAATTTATGTGATTCATTTTTTCCCTTTTTAGTCTGCAGATTACAAAAGTAAGAGGGATTATTGCAAGCAATTGAAGAGCAAATTATCACATATCAAGAAAATGGTTGGAGACTATGACAAACGAAAAACATAAATGGCAGGTGCCATGCTGCTCGAGAAATTGCTCAGTATCTGAAGTATCTGTCTGATGTCTCTGCAATGTCCTCAGAAGACAAATGACTCTGCACTCTAATCCAGGAAGCCAAACCTTTGTGATCGTACAAAGTTTTGGTAGCTTTAATCAGTTTAATATCATCAGTATTGAAGCATTTTTTAAATACCTTTTGATAATCAACTGGACTGAACACTCCGATTAAGGATTTTACGCTTTAAACATTGGTTCTTGTACTAAGAACAAATACATTTGAGGTTTCTAAACCTTGACGGAAGGCCCTGGTGTGAACCACGTTATGAACTTTCATATCCAAGGCAGTACTGTCTTCATGTCTAATTGTGATCATTAGCATAGGGATCTTTTAATCCTCCCAGTAACCCTTTAGATAACGGTTATTTATAATCCTTTCTTTTTTAATAAGGAAACTGGGTCCCCCACAGGAAAGTTTCTGAAGTAAAACTGCTGTTTTCTAGCACATGGTTTTGGTTAAGTCTCTTTTATCAGTCCGTAAATAATGAAGTCCTCGGCCTTTCATATTTTATCTACTCTGTATACTGTGTTCTACCAGCATCCCTATTGATTTTTTTCTGTTATGTAAATGGTTAAAAGAGGTTTATCTTGTTTTACATCATCCTGATAATAAAGATCATATCAAAGTAACGTGTAAAATTCAAAGATTGTAAATATATATTTACTTTTTAAAAATCAAAGTTCAAACCTAGTGGTTAGAATTGTGTGTGTTTTTAAATACATCTTATCTTCCATGGTTTATGTGCATTTTTTTAACCAGATGTTTTCATTATATCAGAGTATCTGATTACATTTATAATTCAATTGTGATTTGAATTGTATCTTATAGAAATGTTCAAGTTGTGTACATATTTTTAAGGTATAAGTCTGGTGTTTTCTTTCTGTGACATAGCTGTTTGATACCATTAGTGCTGTTAATATGAAGCTGTGGAACATGACACTCAGGAGTTCTATCTGTTGTAGTTTTAAACTATTTTGGGTGCTGAGCCAGTTGGTAGTTTCCCAGTCTTTTGGCTCTAGGAAGGCTGATGTGTCTGGAAATGGAATGTTATACCAAATAGAACACCAAACAATTGCAAGTGGTGCCTTTAAATCTTATCACTGTTTTTTAAAATTCAAATTCTTATTAGTAAAGTAAAATTAGTTGGTAATTCTGTGCTAATCAAGTTGATTATGATCACCTGAGCTTAGACTCTTTCTGAAAATCTTTTGCAAAATATTGCGTCCTGTACAACAGACACTTAAGTATATAGTTTTCTGTATGCAAGCATGAGTTATTTTTCAAAGATAAGCTTTTGAATAATGTTTCCCTTATAACACTCATTTATTTCTTCAAATTGAAGACATTTTTAACTTTCTACATGCAGCACATGCTTCATACAAAAGGCATTTTATAGCTCTCAAATTTACAAAATATGGAAGGAGTTATGTGTTAGGTTTTTAACTCCTGTTCTTCGAAATCAAATACTTAGTTTATGAAGGCAAGTTTGCCAGTGTTTTCACAAAACAATTCAGCTGGGACCAGCAGTTAATATAAAGGCTATATCGCTAGACTCCCATGTAGTCAACCGTGGTTCGAGTCCCAGACCCGGTGGCTTAAAACTCACACTGGGTGTATGTGCGTGCATGCCCAAGATCCCGAGAAGAGAATGGAGGAGAAGGGATTGCAGTGTGGCCATCCCCCCTAAAGGGGGTGATTTCTCACTTTCTGTCTCTCTGTCTCTCTGTCTTTCTGGCGAGTGCCCATGCCCTATAGCAAAAACCTCTCAAAAAAAAAAAAATCAGCTGCATGCAGAAATGAAATAGCAAGAATTTGTCTGGTAGAATGAGGCCATAAAATAAAAAAAAATTTTTTCAAATGTGCTTACACTAAGACCACCTTAGGAAGCCAGCACTAGGGTGTTCCTTTTGATGCTGGCATTAACTAACTGGATGTAGCTTAGAAAAACCAATCTAGCATGTTCCTCTTCTAGAAAATAAGGTTAGATTGCAGACTCTCTTCCATTTGCTGACCTTGTGTAGTTCCTATGTCTGTAGTTCTTCTTTTAATTATAAACCATTATTCCATGAAGCTTGCTGTGAAAATGTGGTTCATCTTACAAAGGTTCCCTGCATAAAGTCATGCCCTATATGTGTGATTTTGTATTAAAAGTGGATAGGGTTGATATTTTCATTTTGAAGATTTTAAAGATACATTGAAAAGTATAAATATATATGTACCCGCCACCCAGAAATAACAGGTGTTATTGTTTTGTCATGTGCTTTGTATTTTTTGAAATAAAGTCTACCAGTATTTATAGTATCTTAGTATGTTAATAGTTAATATTCTATACCGTTACACATATGTAAGTGAAATTTCATTTAATCCTGAACAGATATTTTACATGTAATCATTTCTTGTTTTCCTGTTGTAGATAAGGAAGCTAATGATTAGATAGTTGTACTGGCACATTGTCCCATGTAAAGAGGGTGGCAAACTAAGGATTAGAATCTTGGTATTGGACTACTTCCATTCTGGGCTGACTTTATTAATTAATGAAAATATTTGGATTGGAGAATGTGGATTGCTCTTTCTCATGTTAATAAAATATTCTATTTTAATTTAGTGCAGTAAAGTACTTTTTTTTCCTTTAAGAGAGATTTTTGCTATAGGAGGTGCACTTGCCAGAGAGACAGAGATGGACAAAAAGTGAGAAATCACCCTTGGTGGGTGGGCATGCTATAATTCCTTTTCCTCCATTCTCTCAGGATTTGGGGCATGCGTGCACATGTGTCCACCATGAATTTCAAGCTACCAGGTCCAGGACTCAAACCATGGTCGACTACATGGGAGTCCAGAAATGTAACAATTAAGCCATTTGCTTAGTTAAGTACTTTCTTTTTCTTTTTCTTTTCTTTTATTTTTTTAAGAGAGATTTTTGTTGTAGGATACGTGTGCTAGAGACAGAAAGTGAGAAATCACCTCCTGGGGGGAAGGCCATGTTGAAAACCCTTCTCCATTCTCCTCTTATGCACACACGCCCACCATGAGTTTTAAGCCACCAGGTCCAGGATGCAAATCGCAGTCCCGGTTCATTTGCTACAGGACCTCCTTGCTGTCACCAGCTATGTGTTGTCCTGTCTTGCCCTCCAGCAGTTACTTGCTCCAGTACCTTGGACAAGTTGCTTAGCCTCTCTGTACCTCACTTTTTCGTGCCTGTAAAATAGATACTTGTAATCTCATAGTTATGAGGGTAGTTAATGTGTGACTGAGTCCTTGTCCAAAAGTAAATAATGAATATGCTCAGTTACCCTTATCTTCCAAAGCCAAAAGGTGAAACTTTAACAAAAGAAGTAAATTGTGTTTTTAAAAGTGTATGTTTACTATCATCCATCCTGTATGTTTGGCCTTTGCTGGTGCGGCTTTAGGATGCAAATTGTTTTGAATTCTAGCCAGGCAATGCATGAGGTTTGGTGCTATTCATAATTGATGAACAAATGCCTTTAAGAGTAAATAGAACTTACTAAGATCACAACTACTAGATGCTGTAGTATAGTCCATTCCGGAGGTTGAAATGAGTCTCTGTAACAATTTAGTTTCCATTCATAGCTACTGGAATAGACAGGTTCACCTCTCCCAGATTTTCAGGTTATGCACTTTTTGTATTTCAGTTTGATTCTACTGTGTGAGTTGTTCACGAATTTCCTAACTCCATGGATTGTGTCCAGCCACCCATAGGCAAAGAACAGATTGTTCCATTCTTTATAGTTGTTCCCTTAGTTTTACAAGGTGAAAACATTGGCTGGGTTAGATTATTTCTGACACTTTGTATGATTGCATTATTGTGTTATTAGCGTACATTATTGTGTTGTATGCCCAGAAATGTGTTTATGCATATTTTGTTGCTAGTAGAGTGTAGTCTGAAATAAAAAGGTTTTTATAATGCTCACAGCCCCTGCCCTCACCTTACCGCTGATTCTGTTACCACCACACATCCCCTGCTCTTTCCTGCAGCCCTCAAACATGCTAGTGTTTCCTTCCCAGGCCTGTGCCCTGGCAGCCTCCTTTGGCTGGAGAGCGACCTCTGCCCCTAGGTATGAACATGTTACTCCCTCCCTCATTCTGCCTTCCCACTGAGGACTCCTTTGACCATTGAATTTAACCTGCAATCCTTCCTGTTTCCACACTTCACTTTTCCCCCAAACACTATCATCATTTGATATAGCATGTGTTTTTCTTGATAGCCTGTTCCCTAGCAGGAAGAAAACTCCACAAGCTCAAGGATGTTTGTTTTTCATTGCTATTTGCTCCGCATTTAAAACAATTATCAGGCCCACTATAGGTGCTCCATAAATACTTGTTAAACACAGCAGAAATAGCAGCAAAGGAGTCCCCACTGCAAGGTCCAGGCCCGGCTGCTCTGGTCAGAGTCCTTCAATCCAACCTTTTGAAATTTAAAATACATACATGCATACATAGCAGCAGATGGGGTAATGGTAATGTTGCTGGACTACCACGTAGCTGACTGAGGTTGGAGTCCCAGACTTGGCGACTTAAACCTCATGCCAGGCGTATGTGCATCCAGAGAGGAGAATGGAGAAAGGACTGTGGCATGGCCATCTCCCCTGGGGGGGTGATTTCTCGCTTTCAGTCTCTCCTGCGAACACAATGCACCCTATAACAAAAATCTATTTTTTAAATGAATGAATGAAAAAATAATAAATATCAAGCTCCTAGAGCCCAAGTGGATCGTTGCTGAGCTTCTGATCTTCCAAAAGCTAACGACAGTCGCTCTTTGTGAAGACAAGAAGGTTATGCCCAGAACCCCAACGCCGAACTTCAGCTAGCTCCAGCCCTGCGGCTGCCCCCCCCCCCCCCCCCCCGCCCCCAGCCGCTGCAGCCGGAACGTTTCTGCGATCCCGCAGCGCGCGGCGGAAGGATCTTTGGGCGCTCCTTGAAAGGCTGGGTAGAGCTTCCGGGCAGAGCGTCGACCCGGCCGGACTGGTGAGTCCGCATGTGGAAGTTGGCCTAGTGTCTAGGCTGGGCAGGCTGCCTGGCGAGTTAAGAGTCCGCTCCGCGGCTGGGGACGGATTCCGAATTGTCCTGGCCGGCCTGGAAGGGAAGAAGGGCGTGAGAGTGTGAGAGGTCGGGGAGGGCAGCTTCCGTCCTGAGAGCCGCAGAGCGGCGTCGGGGCTGCAGACGGGGGAATGGTTCTCCCTCAGGCAGAGCCCGAGTTTTGGAAATTGTGGTACTAGGTTCGGTATTGTGACCTGCACCCAGCTGTGTGGCCTTGAGCGAGTTACCAACTTATGAGCCTCCAGTTCCTCACCTGAGCAACTGGGACTGTAAATAATCGCCCTTCCTTGTCTCAGTGTTGGGTGCCGATAGCTCATGTGACAGGAATCAACGGCACAGGCTTAACGCTAGGGAATGTAGCTCTTATGAGGGAAAACGAGCAGCAGCGTTTTAAAGGAGATGAACTATGGGGATGTCAAGCCGTTGGAGACCTTTACAGACTACATCTTTTCTCCAGGATGCATAAATCTCTTCTCTACTAAGAGCAGACGTTGTAAGCACCAAACTTCCCTTTGAACACTCTCAGTTTGGGGGAGCTTACTCCTATCCTATCTTGATTTCCCATCCTAGGGAGTTCTCATTAAGAAGTCCTTGGCGGGGTCGGCAGGTGGCGTGGTGGTTAAGGTGCTGGACTCCCTTGTGGCTTTGGAGTCCGGACCTGGTGGCTTGCTTTTTCACTTTCCCTTTCTGTCTCTCTGTTGTCAGATTGAAGTACTACTAATAAATTAAATAATTCTAAAAAAGAACAAAGGTTATCTTCTCTTACCAAGTCTATTTAACTTTATACTAGAAGTTCTAGCCATTGCAGTAAGGAAAAGAAAAAGGAAGTCCTTGGCTACAGTGAGCCAAGTCTTCCAGCTTCCAGTGTCTATTCGTTGGTTCTCACTTTGTTTCTGAACTTAAGAGAATGAATAATAATAAATGAAAAAATACAATTTAAATATTGATGTAATGGATAGCAGTAGAATCTGTGTCTTAAGAATTTGGTTTTAGGACCACTCAGTGGTGTGGTGGTTAAAAGAGCAGGATCCTGGTACCAGCAGTTGGCGTAATGGCTATGTTGCTAGACTCCCATGTAGTAGACTGTGGTTCAAGTCCCGGACCCAGTGGCTTAAACTCACGCCCAGCGTGTGTGCGTGCGTGCCCAAGATCCCTGGAGGCGAAGGGATTATGGTGTGGCCATCCTCTCGGGGGTGATTTCTCACTTCCTGTCTCTGTCTCTTTCTGGCAAGCACATACATCTGATACCAAAAATCTCTCAGAAAAAAAAAAAAAAAAAGAGAGAGAGAGAGAGAGCCAGATCCCACATGGTTGAATGTGCGACTGGATTTCCAGAGGATGACTTGACAGACACCCAGTGGCCTGTGCACCTTCTGTCTGCCCAAACCAGAAATGGAGGAGAGTGGATTGTAGCTTGGCTGTGCTCCATGGGGTGGTGGGGTGCTTTCTTTCTCTTGCTCTCATTCTGTATCTCTCTGGTGTGCACACATGCCATCTGGCACATTTTTTAAAAATTGAGTTTTAAAACATTGAAAATATATGAAATTTTCATTTTGACATTTGTAACAAATACCAAAAAACAAGATAAAAAAACTCAACTTAGTCACTGTCCTATGCTACTGCACTTATCGTCAAACTACAGGGCACTGATCATGGCTGATGAAATAGCATATATGCTAAATTATTGTCACTTCTAGTTACTGAGGATATTAAAGCAGATATCCAGATTTCCTGAAACAAATCTCTTACAAAGTCAGGGAATGGTTTGTTCACTGTGATCCACCCCAACTTCAGTTAACCAGGGTTGTGGGTGTATATGCACTTTCCCTGTGTACAGAGAGACCTACCTGTAATCTAGGGACTCAAGTCTGGGATCTTCCTGTGTGGCCCCAGCATCATAGAGGGTTGTGTTAGCACTATACCACCACAACTGGCCTTGTGTCCTTTTTTTTGAATTATGAGCTGTAAGAATTTATCCATTTGTAAATAATAAATTTCACCTAGAAACTTTAAAAGATGTTTTTCAATTTAAAAATTTTACTCATACTAAAGTGCATGTTTGCATATATGCAAATGAAAAGAGGAACATGGGGGCTAGTCATGTGATCATGTCAGGATCCTCTTCTAGTACTCCAACTTGGACATTTGTGTACATGCCTGATGTTTCGGGCTGACTGGCCCAGGGATTCAAAACTACCATAACTATTGGGATCTGGCTTCTCTTGAGCAATGCATTACTGCTGTGCCACAGAGGCAGATCCTTTGGAAACTTAGAAAATTCAGACACATAAAAGTGAAGAGATAGTATTTTTAAAAATTATTTTATGTTATTTATTTGTTCATTTATTTTAATTTGATCAGTGAGAGACACAGAGAGAGAGAGAGAAATAGAGTGAGAAAGTGAGCCACCAGGTCCAGGACTCAAACCATGGTCAGCTCTATGGGAGTGTCCAGCACCTTAACCACCACACCACCTGCCGGTCCCAAGAGATAGTATTGATACAATGAATTACCATGTAACCATCCTTCAGCTATAATAGTTGTGGCTGGGGGCTGGGAGGGGGTGTGCATGCCAGAATTCCAGAAGAGAAGGGATTGTGGCATGGCCATCCTCCTTGGGGATGATTTCTTTCTTTCCCTTTCTCTCTCTGTCTCTCTGTGGTAAAATTAAAAATAAATAATAATAACAAAAGTAAGTAAAATAAATATATCTTATTAAAAAATCGTTGTGGCTAATCTTATTTCAGCTGTACCTTATTTGTTTTCCACAGTACTTGTCTTATGACACATTTATAATGCATTTATTACTCTTTTATGAATTATAAAATGATGCTTATTTGGGGACCGCCAGATAGCATAACTGTTACATTGCTGGACTCCCATATAGTAGACTACGGTTTGAGTCCCAGACCCCATTGGCTTGAAACTCATGCCGGATGCATGTGCATACATGCATGCGTGCTCCAAATCCCGAGAGGAGAATGGAGAAGAGATTATGGTGTGGCCATCCCCCAAGGGGTTGATATCTTGCTTTCTGTCTCTGTTTCTCTCTCTGGTGAGCACACGTGCCCTGTAGCAAAAAATCTTCTCAAAAAAAAAAAAAAATGATGCTTATTTGTATTGGTCCCACCTTTGTGCATAAATATGCATATTCTTTTTTGGAAATAGAGAATTCATGAGGATTTTGTATTTTCATCCAACAACAATTATTGAATAAACTATAAAGGATAAAATTAACTTTCATCCTAATTTTTAAAATTTTGTCTACTTGTAATTTTCAAATGTAATTAGATGTACTTTGTTACAAACATATTTAGAAAATTCATGATCTAATGGCTTTTACAGAGAATTGAATATTAATAATTCATTTTTAAAAAATGGATGAAGAACCTGAAAGAACTAAGCGATGGGAAGGAGGCTATGAAAGAACATGGTAAGTAGAACACTATTACCTTCTCTTTTCTTTTAGACACTTTTTAATTGAAGTATGTTTTACACATATTAAAATCCACCCATTGCTAATGACTTTTTAGAAAATTTATTGAATTGCACATCATCACCGTAAACCAGTTGCTGAATATTTTAACCACCTGAATAAGATCTCTCATGCCCATTTACAATGAATTATATTCCAGCCTCCACCCCTGGGCAACCACTAATTATTTTGTTTTATAGATTTGCTTTCTTTGGACACTTAACATAAATGTAATTATATGCAGTCTGTTGTGTCTGGCTCTCACTTAACGTATCATTTCCCAAGGCATATCTGCATTGTGGCATGTATTAGTGCTTCATTCCTTTTTTATTGCTGAATAGAATAGTAAGTATTCTTTTTTTTTTTTTTGGGAGAGGTTTTTGCTATAGGGCGCGTGTGCTTGCCAGACAGACAGAGACAGACAGAAAGCGAGAAATCACCCTCCAGCGGGGATGGCTATGCCACAGTCTCTTCTCCTCCATTCTCCTCTCGGGATCTTGGGCACACACGCACACGCGCCCATTGTGAGTTTTAAGCCACCGGGTCCAGGACACGAACCACTGTCGACTACATGGGAGTCCAGCAACATAGCCATTACACTAACTGCTGGTCCCTGAATAGTAAGTATTCTGTTCTGTAGTTATACTGCATTTTTATTCACTCATCAGTGATGGTCATCTGGGTTGCTTACAGTTTAAGGTTGTATTAGTAATGCCTCTGAGCATTCATATGCTGGTCTTTTAATTTCTTTCATTAACATGTTTAGCTTATCTTTTTTAAAAAAATAATTACTGCTTATAGGGAAATTCTTAAAGAAGATGAATCTGGATCACTTAAAGCTACAATTGAAGACATTCTCTTTAAGGCAAAGAGGAAAAGGTATGTAAACTGTTCCTAAGTGTGTGACAAGCTTTTCTCTCCACATATAACCACTCCTCAGGACCTCATTTCAGCTTTCAGGTTAACTGACCTGAAATCTTCTGAATAGAGGGGAAGATCTAGCAATCTAGCCTTGCCTCAGTGGGGAGATCTTCTTTAGGAGATCTCCACAATGCCTGATCGTGTGTATTCCATAAGTTAATAAATTACTTCATTAAAAGTAGATTAGTTGGAAAGTTGTATTGATTTTTGATAGTATATGGTATTCTGTTAAAATGTTTGTGTAATTTTAACAGAGTATTTGAACATCATGGACAAGTTCGACTTGGAATGGTATGTTGTTATTTTACCAATACACAACTAGCTTGGGTTAGAGAAATTTTCTGGCTTGATAGAATAAACAGTAGTAAACAGTAAACCTTTTAAAAGAGTATATTTCAAAATAATCATGGAATATATGAATATTAAGTGCCATTTTTACTTCTTGGTAAAATGTCCTTTTTGTTGTTTTTATTTATTTAATTTTTTTGGTAGATGCGCCACCTTTATGTGGTAGTAGATGGATCAAGAACAATGGAGGACCAAGACTTAAAGCCAAACAGACTGACATGTACTTTAAAGGTGTAGTAAAATCATTTAAATTTACACTAAATGTGTGGAAGGACACTGAATTCAAAAAAAAAAAAAAACAAAGAAGAAAGAAAAGAAAAAATTAAGAATACAATTTTTTTTAATGCCAGAGGACATGCGCACATGCCAGAGAAAGAGAATGACATATGTGTATATGTGTATATAGGTAGAGAAAGAAAGATAGAGTTCCCCACAACCGCACAATAGGCCTGAGTCGTGCCATAATCCTATTTCCTTTTTTCCTCCTTCCTGTCAGGATCCTGGGCACACATTCACATGCACCCAGCATATTTTTCAAGGCCCCTGGAGCAGAATTCAAACTCTAGTTGGCTATGTGGGATTCACCTCTGTCCACATAGCACTTAACCACTGTGCTACAGGGCTGGCCCTTCAATAGTACTTTATTTTTTTTAGTTAATAATGACCAAAATACTAACCAATGGAGAAATGGAGAAGGGATTTTGGTGTGACCATGCCCACTGAGGGGTTCTCTCTCCTCTTTCTCTCTGTCTCTCTTTCTCTCTGGCAGCTAAAACAGTAGCAATAATAACTAGAGTGCTGCCAGATCATTTAGGGAAATAAAAAATAAAAATATTGGGTTGTCAGAAAAGTATGATGTGGGGCCAGCAGGTAGCGTGGTGGTCAAGGGTGCTGGACTCCCACATAGCTGACCCCGGTTTGAGTCCCAGACCTGGCAGCTTGCTATTTCATTCCCTCCCGCCTCACTCTGTCCCTCTCTGGTCAAATTATAAATAAGTAAAGTTGAATAAAATAATTAAAGAAAATTCATGATGCATTTTTGTGAAGGAAAATATGTCATGACTTTTCTGACAACCCACAATAGCTAATTGTCTTTAATTTCCATGCTTCCACTCAAGTCAGTATCTTGCTTTGTCAGTTATCCCTTTTTTTTGGAGAGGTTTTTGCTATAGGGCACGTGCGCTTGCCAGGCAGACAGAGACAAAGAGACAGAAAGTGAGAAATCACCCCCTGGGGGGATGGTCACGCCGCAGTCCCTTCTCCTCCATTCTCCTCTTGGGATATTGGGCACGCATGCACATGGGCCTGGCGTGAGTTTTAAGTCACCAAGTCTGGGACTCGAACCGCAGTCAACTACATAGGAGTCCAGTGACATGGCCACTACACTAACTGCTGGTCCCAGTTATCCCTTTTTTAAATCGAATCTTCATTATTCTTTGACTTATTTGAATCATACAAACATATCGGAACCCTCCTCAGTTCTGTTCATTCCCCCATCTCCGTCTTCATTGCATCTCTTCCTTGTTTAGATTGTTTTTGACATGTTCATAATTAAAACCTTGCTCAAGTCTCATCACCCACCATTTCAAACTAAGGTTTTTACTGTTTAATGTTTTTACTACGTAGTATTTTTTTTTAAATCTATAAACTTTCATAAGAAGTGATGTTTGACAAATAAGTTTCACAAAACATTAATCAGACATGTTCTCTGTGGTCCTTATTTTGTCCTTATCTGGTATTTATCTTTTGTTTTCTTTAAACAGTTGTTGGAATACTTCGTAGAAGAATATTTTGACCAAAATCCTATTAGTCAGGTATGTAGATAAAGTGATAGAATTCATTATTAGGTTCTTATTTTGCTGCAAAATTTAGTTTTAAAAAACAGGGCATATATCTTGTGAGTTATCAAGTGATCCAGCTTGTGTACTAGCTTCTGAAACACTTATCAATGAAAAGCAAAATAACTCTAAAAGTTAAACAATGTACGGCGAAGTCATAGCTAAATTTATTTGTCAAAAACACCGTGAGAAAAAGCATGTTGCTTTTATCTTTATATAGGTACTATTTTATTTTACTGGGTTATTAGAAAGGTCATGACACCTTTTTGCAAAGAAAAACCATAGGAAAATATGTCATGACTTTTCTGATGACCTAAAAGTTATATCAATTCTTAAGAGAAAATAATTTGTTATATTAACAATCATTTTTGTTTTTATTTTGAGATCGGAATAATTGTAACTAAGAGTAAGAGAGCTGAAAAACTGACTGAACTCTCAGGTATGCATAAAATTACCTTTATAGGACTCAAGGACTTTGTTTTATTTACTCGACCTTGTAACTGTTCCTATGCCTGCATAGTAAGTAAAGTGAAGGTGAAGGCTTCCTCTATGCTTTCTAGTAGAAACACCCTATTAAACACCCCTCCCCCCTTAAACTTGGGATCTAAGATGAAGTGTTCTAAATTAAGTTCTACATAAGATTAAGGTTTCTAGGGGCCAGCAGGTGGCATGGCGATTAAGGTACTGATCTCCCACATGACTAGCCGTGGCTCGAGTCCTGGACCTGGCAGCTTGCCCTCTCACTTTCCCTCTCTTATGAGTGCATGTGCCCTATAACCCATTTAAATAATAATAATAATAATAATAATAATAAATCAAATAAATAAATGATTCTTTAAAAAAATTGTAAGTGTTCTAAATTAAGTTCCGCCGAGTGGTGAATAGTATTACCTTGAGTGTAAATGTCTTTGTTTAAGAGCTATATGTTTTTATCCCAAAAATATTAAAATAAAAGTATTATAGGGACCAGCAGTTGGCGTAATGGCTATGTGGCAGGACACCCATGTAGTCGACCGCAGTTCGAATCCCAGACTTGGTGGCTTAAACTCATACCAGGTGCATGTGCATTTGTGCCCAAGATCCCGAGAGGAGAATGGAAGAGAAGGGATTGTGGCATGGCCATCCGCCCTGGAGGGGGGGGTGATTTCTCGCTTTTTGTCTCTCTGTCTCGCCCTATAGCTAAAACCTCTCAAAAAATATATATATATATATTGTAACCATTCTTTTTTTTTTTTTTATTTCCAGAAGGCATGTTTGCTCACCAGGGAGAGAGGGAGAAAGCAGCCCCAGTGAGATGTGATCATACCTCAGTTATTTTCCTCTACTTCTCCATCCTTTCAGGATTTGGGGCAAACACACACATGCATATTTTCCAAACTGCTGGGTCCAGGACTCAAACCATGCAATTAGAATCTGGCTCCCTTAACCATAAGGCTACAGGCTGGCCAGTAACCATTTCTTAAAATTCACATAATCTTAAAAGTTTTTTAAAAAGTTAAATATGTAGGCAACCAGCAGTTAGTGTAATGTCTATGTCACTGGACTCCCACGTAGTCGACTGCGGTTTGCGTCCCAGACCGGGTGGCTTAAAACTCACGCTGTGCGCATGTGCATGCGTGCCCAAGATCCCGAGAGGAGAATGGAGTAGAAGGGATTGCAGCGTGGCCATCCTCCCTGGGGGGTGATTTCTCGCTTCCTGTCTCTATGTCTCTCTCTCTCTGTTTGGCGAGCACATGTGCCCTATAGCGAAAATCTCTCCCCCCCAAAAAAAAAGTTAAATATGTAAAGAGCAAAATATATGAAAAATGAATTTTAGTCTCCTAAAAAATAATGGTGGGCCAGCTGGTGTCGTGGTGGTTAAGGTGCTGGATCGCCCATGGACAACTGAGCAGTTTTAGTTCCAGACCTGGTGACTTGAAATCATGCCAGGTACACGTGTCTATATACTCAAAATCACAAGGGGAGACTGGAGGAGAAGGAATAGCGGTGTGGCCATCCCCCCTGGGGGGACGGTGATTTCTCACTTTCGTTCTCTCTGGTCAGTTCATCCACCCAATAGCAAGAAGAAAAAAATAATAATAATGTCAATTTTTATTTCCTTTGGTATATGTGCTTTTACAGATTTCTTTCACCAGTATTATATTGCCTGCAAAAGACACTATTCCTAAAATATAGTTCTCAACCTTTCATTTTCATTAAGGCATTTAAAGGAAATAATTTATTAATAGTTTTTTACAATGGCAGTAAGGAATGAAATGTATATCAGTCTGCAGTGATCCAAGAAATTTAGTGGCAAGTAACTGAAAAACAAAATCAAACTAAAGTGCAGAAGGAAAATTACTGACTTATGTTCAGAGGTGGGCTGATTTCACATGTTTTTTGTTTTTTGGGTTTTTTCGGAGAGGTTTTTGCTATAGGGCATGTACACTCTCCAGACAGCCAGAGAGGGACAGAGAGACAGAAAGCAAGAAATCATCCCCCAAGGGGGATGGCCACGCCACAATCCCTTCTCCTCCATTCTCCTCTCGGGATCTTGGGCACGCACACATACGTGCCCGGCTTGAATTTTAAGCCACTGGGTCTGGGACTCGAACCACGGTCGACCACATGGGAGTCCAGCACATAGCCATTACGCTAACTGCTTGTCCCAGCCACATGTAATTTTTGAGGGTTCTGAGTTTGTATGACTTCATTCTCTGGTAGCTTTTCTGTTAGGTGAAAAGTGTGTGTGTGTTTGTTTGTTTGTTTGTGCATGCATGCTAGAGTATGCATGTACTCCTCAAAGACTAAGTGAAAGAGAAACCACCCTTCCGTGGCCTTTGGTCACCCTACAGTCCTTTCTCCTCCTTTTCTGCATCCTGATGTGTTTTTTAAGACTCCAGAGCCATACTCAAACTGCATGGTGGGCCATTTGGGATCTGGTTCCCTCAACCACGAGGCCACAAGGCTGGCCCTAATGGTATTTGGTTATCAATAGTTAGGAAGAGAGTGTTAAAATAGAAAATATTAATAAGAGTCCATCAATTATAAGATTATTTTATTTTATTAGATTAGTTTTTACACAGAGCACATGCACTCACTGGAGAGAGATAGAAGGAATGTGAGAAATCACCTCCTAGGGAGGATTGCTATACTGCCATTCTTCTTTCCTCTGTTCTCCTGTCAGGATTTTGGTCATGCATGCACACACGTGCCTGGCATGATTTTCAAACCACTGGGTCCAGGATTCAAACTACAGTTGGCCATTTGGGAGTCCAGCACCTTATCCACTACTGTGCTAGCCTCAGGATATCTTTATTTTTATAAGCCAACAAGAAGGAAAAGTCCTAGCAGTTAAACTTTGACATGATATCAAACGATACATGAGTTATACCAGTTTTTGGTGGTTTAGCATCTCTTAACCTATAAAGGGTTTGGGTATTTCTCTTCTCTTCACTTGTGTTGTTCAGCATGAGATAGACAATCTTTTAAAATGTTATTTTAGTAAAAGAAGATAACAGCTTTGTCCATCTGTAGGAATCTTTCTTTCTTAGGTCTCATAAAGCTCTTTTCTTCCCCCAGGAAAAATACAGAATTGCAGATATTTTTTCAATAAATGTTTACTTCACTAGTCACAGGTTTATATCTCACTGCTTTGTTCCATGCCTTTCTATTTTTTTTTTCTTTTTTGTCATGTAGCACGTTCAGTTGCCAGAGAGAGACAAGAGTAGGAGAGGAAGAAAGCACCTGCAATGGAGCACAGTCGTACAACAATCCCTTCTCCTCCATTTCTTGCTGGGCATGCATGCATACATGTTCATTGTGTTTTTCAGGTTGCTGGGGTTAGGACTCAAACTGCTTACACAGTTGACCAGGTGGGATCTGGCTACCTTAACGATTAGGCAGCAGGACCAACCTGTTCCGTGCCTCTCTATCTTAAAATACAACCTTTTGGACTAGCAGTTGGTATAATGGCTCCGTTGCTGGACTCCCATGTAGTTTACTGTGGTTCAAGTCTCTGATCTGAAGGCTTAAACTCACGGCAGGCACATGTGTGTGCATGCCTATGTGTGCATGCCCAAGATCCTGAGAGGAGAATGGAGGAGAAGTGATTGCAGTGTGGCCATCTCCCCCGGGTGAGGGTGATTTCTCGCTTTCTATCTCTCTGTCTCTGTCTGTCTGGCAAGCGCACGTGCCCTATAGCAAAACCTCTCCAATCAGTCAATCAATCAATAAATAAATAAATAAAACCTTTGTATTAAAACTTTTTCTAAAAACATCTTGCATGACAAACTCAGCATGAATAGCACAGTGTATTTAATACAATTAAAGCAAATAATATATGAAGACCTGTTTGTAGATACACAGATGAGCAGATAATGACAACTATTTCCCAGGTGCTACCTGGCTGCCAATGACAATACACATGCTGATTTCAGAGATACTAAAATGTGAAAATATACTGCTCTTTTTTTGTTTTTAGAGAGATTTTTGCTATAGAACACATGTGCTTGCCAGAGAGACAGAAAGCAAGAAATTGCTCCCCAGGGAGGATGGCCACACTGCAGTCTCTTCTCCATTCTCCTCTCAGGATCTTGCCCACACACACCCAGTGTGAGTTCTAAGCTGCCAGGTCTGGGACTCAAACTGCAGTTGACTACTTGGGAGTCCAGCAATGTAACCATTATGCCATCTGCTAGTCCCCCAAAAATACTGGTCTTAAATAATGAAATGTGGAAATACTTGGAGTAAGAAGTTATGCACTGTAAGTTAACATTTTATAATATCAAGACCAGCAGATAGCGTCATGGTTAAGAGTGCTGGACCTGGCAGTTTGCTTTCTCACTTTCCCCCTCTCTCTCTTTCACTCTGTCCCTCTCTGGTCAAAATATAAATAAGTAAATAAATAATTATTTAAAAAATAATAAAGTGAAATATAATATTTTATCATAAGCTAAAATATCCTTTTTTTTTTTTTTGGAGAGGTTTTTGCTATAGGGTGTGTGCGCTCGCCAGACAGAGAGACAGAAAGCGAGAAATCACCCCCCAGAGGGGATGGTCACGCCGCAATCCCTTCTCCTCCATTCTCCTCTCGGGATCTTGGGCATGCACGCACACGCGCCTGGCGTGAGTTTTAAGCCACCAGGTCCAGGATGCGAACTGCGGTCGACTACATGGGAGTCCAGCGACATAGCCATTATGCTAACTGCTGGTTCCCAAATATCCTTATTTTAAAATATATATTTTTATGTGTGTATGCATACGTGTGCGCTAGCCAAGAGGCAGCAGGTGGTATGGTAGTTAAGGCATTGGATTCCACATGGCCAATTCACAGTTTGAGTCCCAGACCTGACAGCTTGAAAAACACTCCAGGTCCTGTGCAAATGCATCCAAGATCCTGAGAAGATAATGGAGGAGAAAGGAAGCTTTCCCTCTCTCTCAAGGTCTCTCTTTTTCCAGTGAGTGAAAAAAAATCTGTGACAAAAATCTAAAAAACAAAACTATTATTTGTATTGTTTTTCAGTTTAATGTTAAACTATCCACCAAACATTTCTAATAAAAGCAGTGTGCCAAAAATATAAATTGTGAGGCCAGCCATTGGCATGGTGGTTAAGGCAGCTGGATTCCACATGGCTGACTACAGGTGGAGTCCCTGACCCACTGGCTTGAAAAATGTGCTGGGCCCATGTGCGTGCATGTCCAAAATTCTGAGAGGAGAATGGAAGAGAAAGGATTGTGGTGGGGCCATCTCTCCTAGGGGTGTTATTCAGACCCCCTTATCCCTTACTCTGCTGAGCACACTGATTCAGAAGTTTTATGAATGAGTTAAATTGAAATGGTAATTGTTGGGAGCAGCAGGTAGTGTGGTGGTTAAGGTGCTAGACTCCCACATGGTTGACTGTGATTCAAGTCCTGAACCTGACAGCTTGTTTTCTCACTTTTCTTCACTTGCTTTCTCTTTCTTTCCCTGTCTCACTCTGGTGAGCACATGTACCCTATAGCAAATTAAAAAATAATAACAATAAATGAAATAATTCTTTAAAAAAATAGTAATATGTGAATATGAATCTTTGTCACTGCAGCTATAACAAAATTATTAAGTAGGAAAAAATAGGTAATGTAATTTATGTTTAATAGCAAATAGAATATGTGTAAATTGAGATTTTAGATATGTTAATTTTATAAGGGACTTAATTTTTATTATTTATGTATTTATAGGATTTTACTGAAAGTAGATTATTTCATTTCTATTTTAGGCAATCCAAGAAAGCACATAACATCTTTGAAGAAAGCTGTAGATATGACCTGCCATGGAGAGCCATCTCTTTATAATTCCTTAAGCATGGCTATGCAAACTCTAAAGTTAGTATTTTGCATTAATTATTTACAGCTGATTCAGAAATTGTTTCTTTCCTCTTTCTTTCTTTTTTTTTTTCTGATTTTGCCAGAGGGTGCATGCACTCGTCATAGAGAAACAGAGAGAGGGAAAGTAAGAAAGAACCCCCCTAAAAGGAATGGTCACACCACAATCCCTTCTACATTTCTCCCTCCTTTCGAGATTTTAGGCATGCACTGTGCGCCCAGGTGTGGTTTTTCAAGCTTTTGGGTCTAGATCCAAACTGCGTGTCAGCCATATGGGATCCAACTGCCTTAACCACCATGCCACCGGGTGTCCTGATTTAGTTTTTTGAACGAGTTAAATTGAAATAGTAATATGTTGGGACTAGCAGTTAGCGTAATGGCTATGGTGCTGAACTCCCAAGTAGTTTACCGTGGTTTGAGTCTCAGAGCTGATGGCTTAAACTCACACTGGGCACGTATGCGTGCATGCCCAAGATCCTGAGAGGATAATGGAAGAGAAGGGATTGCAGCGTGGCCATCCCTCCAGGGGGTGATTTCTTGCTTTCTGTCTCTCTGTCTCTGTCTTTTGGTGAGCGCACATGCCCTATAGCAAAAACCTCTCAAAAAAAAAAAAAATAGCAATATGTCAATAGGAGTCTTTATAAACCCAGGTATAACAGAATTATTAGGGAAGAAAAATATGTTAATGTCATTTATGATGTTGAATATGATTTTTACTGGTATTTTTTACTTTGCATTTTAGTAGTTAGGTATATCCTCAAAGATTTAAAAAGATACTGTATAATTAAAACTGTAAGCATTCTTGGGGCCAACGGGTGGCATGATGGTTACCATGCTGGAATTCCCACATGACCAACCATGGTTCACGTCCTGGGCCTGACAGCTTGCTTTCTCACTCTCTCTCTCTTACTGTCTTTCTCTGGCAAAACTCACATGAAAAAAAAAATAACAATAAGTAAATTAAATAAGTAATTTTTAAAAAGCTGTAAGCATTCTCAGGAGTTCAAAGGAAATATATTGATGAAAAATGTTTTACTAAAATTGATTAAATATGGATCTTAGTGTATTATTGTTATGAGATTGCTGTAGTTTTATTAGCAATTATTAATTTATAGTGTCTGTAAATTAATAGTATACTTTTCTAGTAATTTCAACGGTGTGGGATATTGCTAAGATATCAAAGGAAATATTCAGTATGGTTGTAATGCCTCTACGTTTATCTGTTGCTAGTCTGCCCTTACTCAGACTTTATACCTTCATATAATGTTTTTCTAGTTTGAAGTAGATGAGAAGGAAGTTCTATACATCAGAAGGGAAACAAGCATGATAGTATCTACAAGTGGGAGCTGAGAATATAGCAGTTAAAAAGAAATACAAGCAGGAAAGCTATAACTGATAAAATTGTTCCAATAGCATGGAAATCCTTCTTTAGTATGGCAGAAAACAGCTCACCACATCTTGAAACCCCACAAACTATCATTTAATTAAATTACCCATGAGATTAAAGTTTATGATTATTATGATTCTGAACAAGAGGTTATAGTCTTTAAAAAAAAAACTAGGTTTTTTTTTTGTTTTTTTTTTTTGGAGAGGTTTTTGCTGTAGGGCATGTGCACTCGCCAGGAAAACAGAGACAGAGAGACAGAAAGCAAGGAATCACCCCCCCTGGGGGGATGGCCACAATCCCTTGTCCTCCATTCTCTTCTCAGGATCTTGGGCACACATGCGCATGCACCAGGCATGAATTTAAGCCACCAGGTCCGGGACTTATACCGCGGTCAACAACAGAGACAGAGAGACAGAAAGTGAGAAATCGCCCCCCAGGGTGGATGGCCACGCCATGATCCCTTCTCCTCCATTCTCCTCTCGGGATCTTAGGCAAACACGCACATGCACCAGGCATGAATTTAAGCCACCGAGTCTGGGACTCGTGCCACAGTTGACTACATGGGAGTCCAGCAACATAGCCATTATGCCAACTGCTGGTCTCTAAAACTAGATTTTTTAAATAACTATTTAATTTTATTTATTCATTCATTTCTTTTAATTTGACCAGAGGGAGAGAAAAAATGAGAAAGCAAGCCACCAGTTCTGGGCCAAACCATGGTCAGCCATGTGGGAGTGTCCAGTACATTAACCACCACGCCAACTGTGGTCCCTGAGGTTATAGTCTTAAAAAAGCATTACTGTGTTTTGATTTGTTTTGTTTTTAAGAATTATTTTACCCATTTAATTATATATCTTTAAATTTTGACCAGAGAGGGACAGAGAGAACACAGGCAAGAGAGAGAGAGAGAAAGCAAGAAGCCTGGTCTGGAACTCAAACTGTAGTCAGCCATGTGGGACTTCAGCGCCCTTAATCACCATACCACCTGCTGGCCCAGCATTACTGTTTTTAAGCCATAAGTACACATCTTTTCTTTTCTTTTTTTTTGGGGGGGGAGAGGTTTTGGATAGGGCGCGTGCGCTCGCCAGGCAGAGAGAGACATAGAGACAAAGTGAGAAATCACCCCCCAGAGGGGATGGTCACGCCGCAATCCCTTCTCCTCCATTCTCCTCTCGGGATCTTGGGCACGCACGCACACGCGCCTGGCGTGAGTTTAAAAGCCACTGTGATTGACTACGTGGGAATCCAGTGACATAGCTATTACGCTAACTGCTGGTTCCCCACATCTTTTCTTTTTAAGAGATATTTTTGCTATAGGGCATATGCACTCACCAGAGAGACTGAGACAGAAAGTGAGAAGTCGCCCCTGAGAAGGGATGGCAACAGCACAATCCCTTCTCCATTCTCCTCTTGGAATTTTGGGCATTCATGTACATGCTCCCCACATGTTTCAGCCTGCCAAGAACAGGACTCAAAAACTGTGGTCTGCTCTGTGGGAGTCTAGTGACGTAACCGTTACTCCACCTGCTGGTCCCACAGGTACACATCTTAAAGTTGATCCATATGACGTCGTTATACTTCTCAATGTACACTTTAGACTTTGAAACAAATCTACTACAGTATAAGCTTTACAATATCAAGAACCTCATGGGGACTAGCAGTTAGCGTAATGGCTATGTCGCTGGACTCCCACATAGTCGACCGTGGTTCGCGTCCCGGACCTGGTGGCTTAAACTCACGTCGGGCATGTGTG